CCACTGAATGGATTGGGGGGTCCCACAGGAGCAAGCTCGCCCAGGACAGTGTCTATGAGCATTTGCTGCCGGCACGTCCGCGCATGCCAGCAATGCGTGCGTCGAGCACAGTCCTGCCTACATGTGTATTATTAACAGCGGACAACGTTACGTACTCGACTACGTAATGGCCTCTCAGCAAGGAGTGCAGGCTGTCAGCAATGTTGAGGTTTGGACGGGCTTTGATAATGCGATGACCGAACCTGACCACCTGCCAGCGTCGGCCAGTTTCCGGCGGGTTACTCTGGCCCCACCCCCTCTCGCGGGGCCCCGGGGGATCGGCGCGGAAGCCGCGGTAGATCGGGGGGCCTGCGCCAGTTTTCAAGAATCTATTCGGGCGGTTCCGCCAGTTCCCTGGACGACTGGCGGCAATGCCCACCTCCAGACTGTCCAAACTCAGCTCCCAGGCGGCTAGGAAGGCTTTCCCGATCCCCAAGGCCGCGCCCAGGGAATCGCATGTGTCGGACAGGTCCAGGATCGCGATGGCCACCCGCAGAGGCATTGCCAGCGCCCTGGCGAGAAAAACACGCGACCTGGCGGCCAGTGTTATCTCAGAGCGCAGCACTCGGCTTAGATTTGCCTGCCGTTTGAAAACCGGGGACCTGGCGTTTACTCGCGACGTCAATGGTGCGATTCATAGGGCTTTGCATGAGCAGTTGGGAACTCTGGGTCACGACGCGCAGCCTGCTCATAACACGATGGTGGGAAGTGAAGGGACGGCTGCGGGTCAGGTGCATGGTAGGAATAGGTGGACTGCTTCATCCCTCTCCCACTTCCCGCTCGTTGCTTCTGCCGTCCGCCCCAAGACTGCTGGGGCGGGATTGGGGTTTCAGCCCATTGCAGGAGACCTGGGTATTGACGTACTCATCGCGCAGGCTCTTGCGGGATTGCGCGTTTGGGCAAGCGTTTCCCTTCGGGCCTGAGATCAAGACGACCCGTGGAATATGAAGGCGGATGTGTTTGCGGTGGGATTGCAACGGTTCGTAATGTATTCACAGGAGCCCTTGGCTTTCTCACTCCAGAGCTGGTTTCTTAGTCATAGAACTCGAAGGGGTCCGCAGCTCGATTGACCTTAGAAAGCCGATCAAGGGCTGGCACCCTTCATAGGACTATGGGGTTTGCTGGCAGACATCCTTAACTCGCTTTCTTGGCGCCTCGCATGCGTGATTCACGGGGTGTTCTTGCCGAGCCCCCCACGCAAGTTCAGGACATCCTGCAGGGTCCTCTTGTTAGAGTGGAAAGGGGGCGTGCGACGACGGGTGAGGATAAGGTGCAGTAGTATAGCGGTGCCGGCCAACTTCCAGTCCGACCTTCACGCGTTGCGCATGCTACGGCTCTGCCCACTGTGTATGATTACATTGCCCTGTTATGTCAGGCCCAACCCAGAAAACTGGCGGGGCCTGGCCGTTTCCCCGATGACATTTTCAATGCGGCGCTTGCGGGCCCCTCCAGGATGTTGGACCTCCCCCGGTTTAAAACTTGCGGCCCATGGGGCGAGAACCCTTGGATTTCAAGGGGGGAGCTGGTTTCTACAAAGGTTCGGGTGACATGTGGGCGGACGGTGCTCAGAGGAACGCACTGCTGCGCAAAGCGTCGGCCAAAATCATCACCGTTCCATCAGGCAAAAAGGCCGTTGATTCCATTCATGCGGCTTTTCGCGTCACCCAGATCGGCGGTCGCCCAGGAGGCGCTGCGCAGTCCGCCGTGCCGTGCATTCGACAGCATTGCATTGCACGCGCGAGCAAAGAGTCTCAGCGGGTGGAGTGTTGATTGGCTTAGTTGCTGCGTTCTACTCGGCCTTTAAACAATTGGCCCTCCGACTGCCGCGGGGTGAGGGCCCCCTGGAGCGCGCCCTCCAAACTATGGAGATTTGCCCTTTCATGGTTCAGGGGGTTAAGGAGCAGTTAAAGCAATCCCTATACTGGGCGCGCCAACAGAGACTGCGCATGTCCTCGCCTTGCCGCAGGAATCACAGTCTGGATATCAAGGGAAGCCCCCCCCCCTCACTAAAGATTTGATTTTGCCTTCGGTCGGCTCTCGTCCGGGATCAATCCCCGCTGGGGGCGCGTTTAATGACGTGTTTTATGAAATCATAAAAGAATTGCGGGCCGCTCTTCAGCGGGAAGGACTGGTCTGGGCACCGACCAAGACGACCCTCCTATTCTCGGTCGAAGACGATTGGAACCGCGCAGCCAGCGATATCTCATTCATCGATGATATCACAATTCTTCTTGTTGGCACTACCCAAGGTATGCCTGCTAACGTCGCAGGGGCGCGCGACATCCTCCGCGTTTTGGGCGCAGGCGCGGGGTCTGTTAGTCAACCTCTTGAACGGTAAAATCCCCGCGGGCTTCAGGGGGCGGGGCGACAGGCGGCATGGCAGCGTCTGGCCACTCAGGCCCGCACGGCCCTTCGCTCGGACAAGCGGGGGCGGTGCCTTTAGGGTGCGAGGTGCCTCGGAGTCCCTGGGGCCACGGTTATGGGCGCGGGGGGGCTTGGGGCAGAGATTTCGCACCGCGCGGCAGGGATGGCTGGGGCGCTTCGTCCAGTCAAGAGCATTGTTGCCCCGTCCCCCGTGGCCCCCCTGTCCAAGAAGGTCATGGGTTGCGAATCGCTGGCTGCGTCCTGAATATTTGATTGCAGCGCCACTTGGGATGGCGCGCCAGCGTGCATCGAACGACAGACTGCGCAGCATCATGTCGCCATCTATCGGACCGCGATCAACCTGGGGCGAATATCTAATGGCGACGAGCAGGTTGCTACCAGGAGAGTTAGCTGTGGTCGGGCGTCTCCCAGTCCAACTTGTCTCGCCCATTGCCCGTCCCCGATTCCTTGTTAGTTTTCCCGCGCGCGTTCCGCCGATGGCGCGCACGTTGCTTGACGCGACGAGAGAGGTGCCAGGATTTTGGCCCCGCAGCCCCCCTTCGCACCCCCCAGATGGCGAAGGGATCTCCTTTTGGCATCAGATGGTCAGAGAGGAACCCCGCAGATTTCTGACGGTCGTGAGCGTCGCGGGGGGCGAGGGCTACGTTTCAGTGCTCGGAGGAGCTGGGATGCGATATGCGGCGGGCGAGATTGCGCGAGACTCACGAGAAGATCTCCGATAGTGAGGGAGTCTCTCTCACCCTGGCTCGACCCCTCCCTCTCGTGCGTGTCAGGGGGGGCCCCGTTCGCCACTCCCGCCCCGCCCCCTGCTGCCCCTGCGAACGCCTCTCCTGCGCCTGCGCAAGATGCCCAGCATGTGCGCTACATGTGCGGGCTCACCCCGGACAAGGAACAGGTGGTTAAGGTGCGCATAGGAGCAAGGGGCTGCCGTCAGCCCAACGAGTTTTGTTACGGGCGCGACCTGCCCATTCTGCCTCGCGCAATTCTGGGGCGCGGCCAGGCTCTTTAAACATGTCCAAAAGTGCGCCAAGCTGTCGGGGATGCTGGATCAACTCCCAGTTTCGACCGTCGAAGGCAGAGCCGGGGGAAAGCATTACGGAACGGCAGGAAGTACAGCGGGCCAATCGGGCTTGTGGCCTGTCGGAGTGCGTTGCCCATGTGCCCGCGGTCCGCGTTGCCGGCCCACCCTTTCGCCCGCTGGTTCGCATCCGAAACCCAGCCCGATGGTGATCCCCACTGTTGTGCCTTTCCTTGCTGCCGCGTCCATCCAGGCGCCCCCCCGTGCGCTGTCTTGCTTCTTCCATGACGTGCTCTTACGCGGTGTTCGTGGCATGCAAAAGAGAAGCTGTTCAACGTGCCGCGCAGGCCTTTGCTCATTCCCCGTTATGGAAGACAGACCCCGCGAGTATTAGTGGATGGGGAAAGAGAATGCGTGGTTACGTTCATGCGTTGAGTTATGGCTAGAGTGTGTTGCTCATGGTACTCCAGTTTGCTGGGTGATACCCGTCTCCCCCTCGGCAAACGCGGCCCAACCCTGTGCGGGTCCCCCCTCTGAGGTCGGAGCCCTTTCGAGTCTGCCCAGGTGTGGACACACGGTGCTGACTACGGGACCGCCTTTAGATCCTGGGGCCCCCCATTGCGTGGCCTCGTGAGGTGTTTGGCCCAGCGCGGCGGCCGCCATCGCGTCCGCGGGGAGGACCCGTTTCTCCCATGCCGACCCTCTGCGATGCTTCAACCATCGTCTCCGCCTCGCTTGTTTTCGTGAACGTGCGGTGGGGGTGGGGGGGGCACTGCGCAATCAGCTTCGACCTGGCCGCTTGCAGACACGGATGGTATTGGTGCGTGCCTCTACCACGCGGCAAGGGCGCGCTTGCGGTCAGCAGGAGTATCGCCCGTTGTGCAGAGGAACGAAGGAGAGGATTTGCGAGGTAATGACGGCGCGAAGGCTGGCACTGACGGGGTGTTTGACGCGGCCCCTGCCCTGGCGACTGGTGGGCTTCGTTGGGGGGGTGGGGTCACGCTCACGCGCATGACCCCGTCGTCTGCCAGTTGCGTCTCGAGGAAGGCTGGGGAGGGAAGGCCGCCTGGGGCATGGTGTCGGGACCCACCCCTGGCCCAATTGCCTCTCCGACAGGGCCGCCTTTGCCTGGCGTGGGAGTAGGGCGCTCCGAATGGGGACTCGCTTCCCCCCCCCCATCATGGCGTCGCCGTGACCCCCATCCCCCATGCCTGAATTCGTATCTGCATGTCTTTAACCTTCACACTTCTAGCACGGGCTTAAACTTGTAAGCCCCAATGGCGACCGAGCGATCGAGGGGGAAGGGGAGGAGGCCACGGAAGAGGAGGCTAGGGAGGAGGGGGGGGACGAGGAGGAGGAGGAGGAGGAGGAGGCTAGGAGGAGGAGGGGAGGAGGAGGAGGAGGAGGAGGAGGAGGAGGAGGAGGAGGAGGCTAGGGAGGAAGAGGAGGAGGAGGAGGAGGACGAGGAGGAGGAGGAGGAGGGGGAGGAGGAGGGGGAGGAGGAGGGGGGCCGAGTTACCACGCCGGTGGGGCCAGGGTTCGGCGAAGCGGTGCCCAGGCATCTTCGCTGCAGCTCCTGGGCGGGGCTTCGGGGGTGCGAACCTTCTGCCTGTCGGGCCCGCCCTTTGCGCTCGCGGAGCTCGCCCGCGCCCTCCGCTACCAGCCGCAGGCCCACTGGGAGGGGCAGGATCGGGGCTCGCGCAACTCAGGGGCAACGATAGGGGGGTATAGGCATGCGACCTACCCCTTCGCGTTGTGAATAAATCACGACGGCAGGTGTTCTATTATTTTCGGCCTCCATGGGCCCTCACCGGGCCTCGGAAGCGTCAAAGAACAACTCAGGACGAGAAGTCGGTCCCGGGGAAGGGATCCAGACCTTTGGGGGTCGACGCTCTGAACAAGAATCACGACGTCGAGGGTCTGTGAACCATGAGATCCTGGCGTTGCAATTTTTTCACAGCGGGCACGTTCGCCCAGTTTCGGGCCCCCGGACCCTCACGGACCGATACGGCTCAGCAAGATGGGGTCCGGGACTCTGGTCGTGATTTTCTGCTATGTTGCAATTTTTTCGCAACGTCAGATCTCAGGGTAGGGGGGGGGCGCATCGACCCCCAATATTCGCCCACTGCTCGCCGATAGTGGCCCGAAAGCCCACACCTGCCCAGGTTCAGGATCGGGGGCCGATCACCGATCTTTCAGCGACCCAGGGATCGGAAGGCGTGATTTTTTCCAATGCGGGGCCCCGGGATGTCCCGACCCGTTTTCTGGGACAGGCTTTTCAGTCTGAGTCGTTTTTTGACAGGCCTGGGGCCCTGCGAGGGCCTCTAGAGGCCAAACAAGGCGAACAACCTCTTTGGTCTTGTCCAAGCGTGAGGTTGTGGTCGAGCCCAGTGCCAGCTGCAGGCTGTGGGCAACCTCCCGTGCCGCCTTCTCCGGCATGGGCCGGGGGCGCGCGTGGTAGGGACAAAAATGGAACAAACTCAACACAGAGTGCGGAGCCCGCCCGGGCTCCCGTGCCACGCCGCCCCCATCGTGTCCCTGCCCCGCAGGTGGGGGCAGGGAGGGCCGGGGCCACGATAGAAATTAGGATTCCAGAGAGCCGTGCCATTCAACTGCAGAGAAGAAGACAAGGAGGAGAGAAGCGACAGGGACGTGCACACAGAGCAACCCAGAAAAGCTTTGCTCACAACCTGCCCGGCATTCCAAGCCCCACCTCCAAGGCGAGCGGCGCCGGCACGACAAATCACACTAACACCGAGGGCGCGTAATGAGGGATACAGCCGTTGGCGATCCACGTACCACCTTTGCAAAGCCTCGGGACAGCACAGCGTGCAGAGTAAGAATGGACAAAAGTCGAGCTCCACAGCGGACGAAGTCGACACTATGAAGACAGCAGGGCTTGACCCCGTTTAAAGACGGAGGTGGGGGGGGCAAGCCTCAACGATGCTCGTAAAGTAAACCAAGTGGCTAAAAGTGCAACGCAAGGGAATTACATGAAAATGCTATGATATAGGTGAGAGCCAAACTGCACGGCCTGAGGAGCCCCTCCAGCCAGCTAGGAAAAAAAAAAGACGACGAGCTTGTGTCAACGTACTGCTGGCCAGACATGCCGGAAGATGGTCTCAGATGAATGTGAACATACGCAACACACACAGAGAGCCAGGTGGGCACGGTGGACAGGTGAGATTGTTTAGGCAAAATGCCAAGGCACGAGGGGCCCCCTGTACCGCGAGCCCCCCGCGCCCAGGTGGTCAATGGAGAACCCCACTGACCTGTGAGATCGTTTAGCCGCTGTCAGTCGTACTCGTTCCTGCAATACGTGCTGACCGCGTTCCTCGTGGGACCACGTAGGGGTAGATCTCATCCCAGCGTCTTGTCCAAGCCATCCTGTGATGTTGAGTCCTCGTTTTGAAGAGACAGTGCCCCGCGTTCTCCTCCTCCCGCCTCCTTCCTCTCCCTCCTCCCTCCTCCCTCCTTTGCCTCTGCCCTTCGCATGTGTCTGTTTCGGCACACCCCTCACACGTTTCGTGGCCCCATGGGGAGTTCCACCGAAGGCCCCAGTGGCAAAGTTCGCATGGCGGCCCCGCCCCACTTCGGCGCACCCCTCACACGTTCCGTGGCCCCATAGGGAGCTGAGAAAGTGTCAGATCACAACCGGTCGGGTGAGATCCCAACGGAACGTGTCAGATCACAACCGCCAAGCACAGCTGGGACGGGTGAGATCTCGACCGCTCCAGGGAAATCCTTCGGGCATCTGAGCGCCTCTTTGCGATCGTGAGAGCTTCTGAGAGCTTCTGAGAGCTTCGGAGAGCTTCTGAGGAATCCTTGAGAACCAGTCGGAATCCATAGGAATCCTTAGAAACCTTTCTGAAAATCTTTCGGAACCTTGAAGCATCCTTGAGGCATCCCTCCGAATCCTGAGGAATCCTTGGGATTCCTTAGGGATCCATAGGAATCCTTCGGAATCTTTACGAATCCCTGGGAATCCTTCGGGACACCTAGGAATCCTTAAGGACCCATCGGAGGGAACCCAGAGGAATCTGTAGTCCCCCTCCCCATAGGAATCCATGCGGGAACCCAGAGGAAACCCTAGGGACCTTAAGGAATCCCGAGGAATCCTTAGGGATTCTTCGGATCCATAGAAGTCCCAAAGAATCCCTGGGAATCCCGGGGCCTCTCTGGGAATAGTTAGGAGTTCTTATGGGGTCCATAAGAATCCTTAGGAATCTTGGTGGATCCTTCGGGATAACTTGAGGAATGCTGGATACAATCCAGGTATCTTTGGATACCCCGGAGGAATCTTTAAGAATCCGAATCACTACGACGACGACGACGACAACTACGACTACGACTACTACTACTACTACTACCACCACTACTATTACGACTACTACTACCACTACTACTACTACTACTGCTACTACTACGGCTACTCGACTACTACTACTACTACTACTACTACTACTACTACTACTACTACTACTACTGCTACTATTACTACTACTACTACTACTACTACTACTACTACTACTACTACTACTACTACTATACTACTACTACTACTAGTACTAGTTACTACTACTACTACTACTACTACTACTACTACTACTATACTACTACTACTACTACTACTACTACTACCTTGACTACTCATTGTACTACTACTGTACTACTACTACTACTACTACTACTACTACTACTACTACTACTACTACTACCACTACTCCTACTACTACTACTACTACTACTACTACTACTACTACTAGTACTACTACTACCACTTCCACTACCACTGCCATGGCTGCTATTCTTCTTCTTCTTCTTACTACTACTACTACTACTACTACTACTACTGCTGCTGCTGCTGCTACTACTACTACTACTACTACTAGTACTAGTACTGCTGCTGCTACTACTACTACTTTTACTACTACGACTAGTACTACTACTACTACTACTACTACTACTACGACTACTACTACTACTACTACTACTACTGCTACTACTACTACTACTACTACGACTACTTCTACTAGTTACTACCACTACTACTAGTACTATCAGTATTCCTACTATTACTACGACTACTACTACTACTACTACTATTACGACGTCGACTGCTACTACTAGTACTACGACTATCTCTACTTCTATTAGGAGTAGTATTAGGTCTACTACTATTGGTATGATTACTGTTACTGTTACTGTTACTACTACTACTACTACTACTACTACTACTACTACTACTATTACCACTACTACTACTACTACTACTACTACTACTACTACTACTACTATTACTACTACGACGACGACTGCTACTACGATTCTACTACTACGATTACCCCTACCATCACCACCTACTACTACTACTACTACCACCACCACCACCACTACTCCTACCACGACTACTACTACTACTACGACTACTACTACTAGTACTACTACTACTACTACTACTACTACTACTACTACTACTACTACTACTACTACTACTACTCCTACTCCTACTCCTACTACTACTACTACTACTACTACTACTACTACTACTACTACTACTACTACTACTACTACTACTACGATCCAGTAGAAGACGGGCGAGTTCCCAACCGCCAGAGCTCACGCGTGAGTTCGCTCCTCTAAGGTCCCCAGTGAGGCGTCAGATTGCAAACAACAGCAATGATAGTAGTTTAAGGTGCTTTTTTATTAGCTTCCTCGGTTGGGATCTGACCGTGCTTGGGGCTTTGGACGGTTGGGATATCACCCGTCCGATTGTGGTCTCTCCCGACCGGTTGTGATCTTGACCCATCGCATCGGGAGCTCCACCGAAGGCCCCAGTGGTAGGGTTCGCATGGCGGCCCCGCCCAATCGTGGCGCGCCACTCACACGTTTCGTGGTCTCATGGGGAGCACCACCAAAGGCTCCAGTGGCAGGGTTCGCATGGCGGCCGAGCCCCACTTCGGCGCACCCCTCACACGTTTCGTGGCTGCATAGAGAGCTCCACCGAATGCCCTACTGGCAAAATTCGCATGGCGGCCTCGGACCATTTCGGCACACCCCTCACGAGGATCGTGGCCCCATAGGGAGCTTCTCCGAAGGTCCCACTGGCAAAGTTCGCATGGCGGCCCCGCCCCACTTCGGCGCACCCCTCACACGTTCCGTGGCTTCATGGAGAGCTTGACCACATGCCCCAATGGCAAAGTTCGCATGGCGCCACCGCCCAATTTCGGCGCACCCCTCACACGTTCCGTGGCCCCATAGGGAGCTCCACCGAAGGCCCCATTGGCAGGGTTCGCATGGCACCATCGCATCCATGTTGGCGCACCCCTCACGCGTTTCGTGTTCCCAAAGGGAGCTCCACCGAAGGGTGGGCTCACGACTGCGGTGCTCCACCGAAGGCGGGGTTCACAACTTGCATATGGTTGGGTCTTTCGCCAGGATAATTCCAACTTGCTGGATCTCCAGGGATGCGTCGCCGATTCCAGGTCGGTTCCCCCCCCATCTGTGCAGATCCCCCCTTTACTGATCGTTTCCCTTCAGCAGCAGCGGAGGGGCAGCGTTAACAAGCGGGAGCCAGCCAATCTCTCCCGACCAGCCCATGGTTGTTTGCGGCCACGTCATGTGGCCGCTTCCCCGTTGTCCGCCCTCCGCCGACCCAGGCTTCCCAGACGACACCCTGGCGCTGCG